ACCAGATACATTTAGGGTTTAGGGTTTAGGGTTTAGGGTTTAGGGTTTAGGGTTTAGGGTTTAGGGTTTAGGGTTTAGGGTTTAGGGTTTAGGGTTTAGGGTCAGGAGCTCAATCGTTAGTGTCCCAGGACAGCCATCAATCGCAAGAGTCGTGCTCTTAACATGGCGATGATCGAAACCCGGGTGCACGACAGACTGATGGCTTGTCCGCCTGGTTTACGCAGCTAGTCGTGCATGAAGCTTGCTCAACAAAAATGGTGACACCCTAAACCCTAAACCCTAGACCCTAGACCCTAGACCCTAAACCCTAAACCCTAAACCCTAAACCCTAAACCCTAAACCCTAAACCCTAAACCCTAAACCCTAATCGTTTTGCTTCTGCCAAGAATACAGTCACCAGAATCACTTGAACAAAGACCAATATCACCATCGTCTACTCCCCCTACTTCATATGTGTGACAAAAGGCTACAGGCGAGCACTCTAGCAACCCCCAAAAAACAAAAACCAATAACGAAAAAACCTATTCTGTTTATTAAGGCCCCTATATTAGCACAGAACTTGTTCCTTGCAGTACCAAGCATCTCGGATGCACACTGCAGCAGCCAAAGCCTTGCTTCGTGTGCTCTTCCTACACCGCAGACCAGATAGGGTTCAGGGTTTAGGGTTTAGGGTTTAGGGTTTAGGGTTTAGGGTTTAGGGTTGTGGGTTCAGGGTTTAGGTTTCAGGGTTGAATCCTAAATCCCTAAACCCTAAACCCTTTAATCCTAAACCCTAAATCCCGAGGTGCGGGACATCCCCTTCTGAACTCTCAGACCTGCAGCCCAAGCCCCGCCCCCACCCCGCTGTTAGTGCGCATTTGTGGCGCAGACCCAAAACATCCCCAAACCGTGAACCCTATACCCCATACCAAAAACCCTAAAACCCTAAAACCCTAAAACCCTAAAACCCTAAAACCTTCAAACCCAAAAATCCTAAACCCCTAAAACCCCTAAAACCCTAAAACCCTGAAACCCTAAAACCCTAAAACCCTAAAACCCTAAAACCCTAAAACCCTAAAACCCCGAAACCCCAAACCCCTAAAACCCTAAAACCCCTAAAACCCCTAAAACCCCAAACCCCTAAAACCCTAAAACCCCAAAACCCTAAAACCCTAAAACCCTAAAACCCTTAAACCCCAAAACCCTAAAACCCCCAGACCCCAGACCAAAGATCTGCTGCCACGTGGCCTCAATGCGTAGAGCGGGCATTGGGCCACCGGCTGCTTTATCTCCGGGCTCCTTGGCTCTCTTCAAGCTCCTTGTATCTTCAGGGCTGGGCTTAAAGCCCTAATTCCGTAAACCCGAAACCCTAAACCCTAAACCCTAAAGACAAAGAATGTGGCTATACATGTCGTAATTTAAGGGTGGTGATACAAATTGAGAAGATAATTTAGATGAAGAGAATCTAGAGTAACAGGCATTATGTAAAAAAAACATTATCATGATAGCGGTGATTTATCTAAAACCACTTCAACAATCTACATAGCGAGCTGGACAATTTCATATGAAGCTAAAGAAAATGATAAAACTCAAAATTAACGGTAGATGAATTCTTAGAATTAATTATCCTATACAAACAAACGTAAATTGAGTTTACCACAGTCACCCTTCGAGGATGTTGGCCTCTTTCATCCACCGCACTGGTGAGTGAAGCATACGGATACATCGGTGCTACCCTAAACCCTAAACCCTAAACCCTAAACCCTAAACCCTAAACCCTAAACCCTAAACCCTAAACCCTAAACCCTAAACCCTAAACACCCAAGAATGAAATGGTCTTCCTTGGAAAAGAAGATGCTTTGAAGGATGAGCTGTTCATCTTTTGCTTCGAGGCTTGCTCACCGTTTGGATATGGCGAAGCATGGTTTTCCCACAGGACCTTCAAGAGAACTTTCGCTTGAAGAATGAATGTCACACCAATAGATGATGAGTTGTATGTAAGAAGTATTCTACGTGTTGTTGACACTCCAAAAACACTTTGTGGTGTTGGCCATAGAAACGGTCGTCAAACCCCTACCCCCTAAACCCCAAACCCCAAGCCCCAAACCCCGAAACTTACGGAATCCTATACCCACTAATCGTCTTCAGGGTTCTCTATTGTTTTGGTTCTAGTACCGAACCCTATGCCCACTAATCGTCTTCAGGGTTCTCTGAGAATCCCCAAACATCCCACACCAGCGTGAAATAGGAAGGCTTGCGAGAGCAGGTTCGGGTGGCCATTCTACCGACTATCCCGGCGACTTTCCCCTGAAACCTGACACCTGGAACCTGAACCCTAAACCCTAAACTTTAAACCCACCCAACTCCTGAAGGCTCTTCAGGCCTCGCGCAGCTATGGCAGCTATGCAGGCGCTCTTCGGGATTTGAATCCAACCTGGAGCTCGCATGTAGGGGTCAGGGTTTAGGGTTTAGGATTTAGGGTTTAGGGTTTCGGGTTTAGGGTTTAGGGAGCCTGCTGGGTCTTGGGATGAGTGGTATGCTAATCTCTCTAGAACCCCCAAAGGTAAGAAACCGCTGGCTCCCCTACAAAACTGGAACCTCGGGCTTTGTGTTTCAGGATCCGGGTAGAGGGTAGAGGGCAAAAGGTTCTAGTTGAAGGGTTCTTTAGGGTTTAGGGTTTTGGGTTTAGGGTTTAGGGGTTAAGGGTTTAAGGGTTTAGGGACTTAAGTTAACTGACCATAATAAGTACGCGGCTTGACTGGAAGGTGGCCGGGCCCTGTGGCCACTGTGGGCACAGTCCGTGCACTCATCACGCCAAGGCCAGTGCCCGTGCTGCAGCCCTAAACCCTGAGCCCTAAACCATCCTAAACCCTAAACCCTGAACCCCTATTCCCTCAACCCTAAACCCTAAACCCTAAACCCTAAACCCTAAACCCTAAACCCTAAACCCTAAACCCTAAACCCTAAACCGTGAACCCTGAACCCTGAACCCTGAACCCTGAACCCTGAACCCTGAACCCTACTCTCTGAACCCTCCTGAAAAGAGAGCTTTCGCCCAAGGATTGAGCGGATCAAGGTCCAGAGGCTCCTCAACCCTCAACCCTGAACCCGGTTTAGGGTTTAGGGTTTAGGGTTAGGTTTTAGGTTTTAGGGTTTAGGGTTTAGCGTTTAGGGTTTAGGGTTTAGGGTCATAATCGTTATTCTCTTAAAGCAAAACAAAATCCTCAAGCAAATCCTCAAGCCTAAAGAACAAAAAAGCAGGTCTAAAGAACCTGAAGGGCCTCAAGCTTAGAGCCCGAAAAAAGACCTTAAACGACCTAGACAGCCTCAACGAACAACACAAAAAGCAACATCAAAAACCTAAGACCTAAGACGTACAAGCCTAGGAAACCCTAAACCCCAAATCTAAAAAACCCAAACCCTACGCCCTGAGCCCTCAGCCCTAAGCCGCAAGCCCTAAACCCTAAACCCTAAACCCTAAACCCTAAGCCTTAAACCCATGCCAGGGCCGCTGCAACCGCCGGAACGACCGCTGTCGCTTCTGTCCGGCTCTCTCTCTTTGACCGGTTTAGGGGTTACGGGTGTAGGGGTGCAGTGGTTAGGGTTTAGGGTTTAGGGTTTAGAGTGTAGGGTTTAGGGTGTAAGATGCCCTTAACCCTAAAGCCTGTCAGGTTTGTAGGGGTCGGAGCACCTCATTGGCATGAGCAGTGACATTTCTCGCGGAGTCTTGAGGTTCAGTGCCAGGTTGGCGATTCAGGGGTTCCTGGACAGGAAAGTAAACGGCAAGCACTTGATCGCCCAGTGCCAGAGGAGGTCTACTGGACAAACCTAGATTGGGAGTGCAAAGGTCCCAATCTTCAACATGGGCTCTTCCCGAAACCCCAGTTAAAGGAATGTGTGATATTTACCCTTGTTGTGGTTAAAAAGATCTCAGCCAATCAAATTGAGCCCTTTAATCGACAACCCTGCATCCAGGGCCCTTGAGCGCAAGCCCGGAGAAGAGTCTACGTAGTCAGCTCGTGAACACAACCTCAAAAACCCTGAACCCCAAACCCTAAACCCTACAAAGCCCCCTGAGCCTAAACCCCCGCCCAGACCCAAAGCAAACTAGGCAGGCCCTTTGGGATATTTGTTATTTTCTCTTATTGGCTTTAAGAGGCGAGGAACATATTTTGGAATACTTTTTCCCTTATTGGGTTTAAGAGGTAGTTTTTCCTTGAGTTGAAGAGGAACATATTTTGGAATACTTTCAGAGGGTTTACAGGGTGCCGATCTCCAGGTCACTGCCATGGACCAGAAGCCGCTCCTGCCCAAGGACCGGGTTTAGGATTTGAGGGTTTAGGGTTTGGGGTTTAGGGTATAGGGGTGTAAGGATTCAGGGGTTTGGAGGTTGGGTTTGTGGCTTCAGGTCGCACTGTTTTGGCTTCTGGGGTTCTGCATCTCATTCGCGCCCCACAACTAATCAAAGCAGTTGTTGAGGCAAGCCATCGACCCTAGCCGACACAAAAAGCTTGACCTCTACATCAGTTAGCGGAACCTTTGCCCGTTTTGGGTGGTAGTCCACCAGCCTACCAACGAACATCCCACAAGTGCATCATCCTTCTGCTTCCGCCCCAGGTCTGTACTCAACTCGCAACCCATTCGTCTCAGGGCGCATCGCCGCTGCCAACTTACAGTGTGGACCCATCTAGGATCGCAGCTCTACCCAGATCCACGCTAAACCCTGAACCCACCAAGCGCCATCAACCGCAGCCTCGCCAACGTGTTTGATTCGGCGGGGCCTGGGTTTACTCCGTCGGTTCACTCCGTCTGCTGGCGGACTACGACCATACCTGGGTCTAGAGGTCGGCCTGGCAGGTTTGCAAGTACTTACCCATCCCATCTGAAGGGTTCATTCCAGGCAGCACGGCATGAATTGCTGCAAACTGACTGATTGGCTGCTCTTTCTGATTCTGTTCTGACTGCCATTTGGCTTCAGGTGCTGCAAGGGATCTCCGTAGTGCAGGTTCAGAATTGCAGCCATGGACTTTCGTCGCGTTGCGAAAGAATACCGCATCTGTGCTGCTGTGGTGCAAGCCTGCTTGCTGCTGTCCGTTGCCGCATTTGCCACGCAGCGCGCGATCGCAATATCTTCATCCTCGAACTCTGTAGCCCTGCAGGTATCCAGCCAGAGATGGTCAGATCTTGGGGAGTGGGCTGTGTGCACATCCGCTACCGGTGATGCATGGATGAAGGCAGCTGGTGTGGGTGTTTTCGACACGAACGACGGTGAAGAAATGCTCGAGGATCCAGCTTTAATGGTTCCAAGCAACAGGTCGAAGGATCTGGCTGCCTCGCGTATCTCCCGGCGAGCTCTTAATGTTTCCGGAAAACTGATGAACTGCTCGGTCACCAACTTAATGACCTTGCCGGACGTTGAGATGCCAGGGAAATTCAGCATTTGTTCTGACACCCCAGGTGGGCCGATCATGGTCAAAAGTGGTGGACAATGGAAAATAATGAACCCTGCCGGAAGGTCCACCTACTATGTGTTATCGGTCACAGCATACAGGCATGGACAGCACTTTGGCTATTCTTCCCAGAGCGATATCTTTTTCCACTCAGTGGAAAAACTGCGCGTTTACGCTCCAAACTGGAACCTGCCCAGCATGTGCCACTGGAAGCAATTCATTAATGATTCTGCCCCGGCGCCTTCCCTTGGAAATGCGGTCATCATTGTCATTTCAGATCCGCTTATCCACGTCTCTCTTGAAAAGGGCATTCTCTTGCAGTATTTTGAGCTTCTCAGCAGTCTTGGCGGTTACATCTCTGTGACCGTTGCCGTTTTCGGATTAATCTTTGTAAGAAAGTTTCCACAAAGTGATGTTGCTCGGGTCTTCGAGGAACGCACACTGCGTTGCAATGAGGCACCTGGCAATCCAGCCAAGGTTGAAAATGATTTGGAAGAACATGCTCACCTGACCATGACCACTTCATCCTCCTCCTCACCAGTGCTGCCAGCAAGGAGCGCTCCAGAGAGTGAAACTGTGGGCCTGGTACGACTAGACAGGCAAGAGAGTTCAAGAATGCCCCCATTGCCTGTTCCTACATGTTCCCCGCCTGGAGTCCAATATGCAGCACACCCTCCTGGACTCTCACGTCCTCCTGCTGTTAGTGCTTCAGAGTAGATGCTGAGTGTCGAAGACACAGCCATCAGCCTCCAAGCATCATAGCTATGCCATGTTTGCGAAACGGCAACGCTGCGGACCAAACTGTTGCCAGGACTTCGTTGGGATGCAAATCCAAGATGTTTTGTCACAAGATTTCCCAAGTACTCTAGTCCTAGTGGCTACTAGCCGTTGCTAAACCCAGCAGCCCCCCCGACGTCAGCCAACAGTTTGCTGGCAGGCTTTTAGGGGCTTAGGGGTTATGGGGCTTTGGGCTGCGTAGCCTGAGGGTTGAGGATTTGGGGTTTAAGGCTTTAAGCGTCTCATCTTCGTGCCGGGCCCGTTGATAATCGTGCACTCTTTCTCTATCCTCTATATCCCCTCTGTCTCCTCTGTCTCCTCTCTCCGCTCCATCCCCTCTATCCCCCCTTCCTGGACAATGCAGGGAGGTTGACCAGGAACCCTCAATTGGCTCCTGCACCTGGCATCCTGCGTTTCGGCCCTTGAACGTGCCGCAGGTCCACCGGCACGCCACCAGGCCATCGGCAAGACAGACGCAGCGCTGGGGTGCATTAGAGGGTCACCCAAAAGGTCACAAGCCTAAGTTACAATTCAACCTAGATCTTGCGAAGGAGTTTACTGAAGGGCGGTTTTTGCTAAGCGTTTAGGCCCCCCACATGTTTCAAGGAAGATAGCCAAATCGCCAGGCAAGTGATCTGGCTGCCATGTGGTTAGGATTCAGGATTATTGCTTTGTTTGTAGTGGCTCAGGTCTTAGGGTGCTGCGATTCCGATTCGTGGATTGATTCAGTCATCGCACACGCCGAATTTGAATGCCGCCGTCCCCACCGCACCCCACCGCACCCCATCCCACCCCACCCCACCCACCCCATCTCAACAAGAGCCTACATTCAAAGAGTCCTCCAGATTTGCATGTGGAGTTGTTCAGGGTTTAGTTCACGGTCCGGGTTGGAATTTGCTTGGCTTAGGGGAGAGGGTTCAGGGTTAAGGCCAGGGAAAGGTTTAGTCGCTAGGGACCTCTCAGAAAAATGTCAGACTGGTTTTTCCGACCTGTTCCACAGGCCAAGAAAATGCAGAAGCCCGCCGTGCCCGAAGCAGCGCAGAACTCGGCTTACCTTCTTCAGGGCTCGGGGCCGCAAAGCTCAACGAGGCTAAGGGGGTTTAGGGTTTAGAAGTTTAGGGGTCCCAAACCCTCAACCTTGAACCCCAAACCCTCGGGATTTAGGAGACATTTTAGGGCTTAGAAGTGTAGGGCGTAGGGTCTAGGGGTTTAGGGTTTCGGGTCTAGGGGTCTAGGTTTCTTGCTTATTGTGAATGTGTTTGGTTTATGTCTGATTCTGTCCCAACTTGGGCCTATTTGTCTAGGCAGACCCTTAGCACATTTCATATTATCCTTTTGGGGTTTCAGAGGATCATCTTTAGGAACTTTCTCAGCGGGATCCCATTTCGTATGTTCCTAATCATTTAATTATATTATAGAGCCCCGGCTAGCATATTTGGGTATGGTTGAGAGGGTATACGTAGACTTGACATCAGGCTACAGCAAGTGGGGATGTTTGAAAGGTATCAGAGGGACTTGACATCAGGCTACAGCAAGGTGTTTCCGGCTAGTTACAACGGGGTTTTGTAAGCTCGGTCGGCTTGTTTTTTACAAGCGTTTAGGTTCTGCAGATGGGGTTTCTTTGATGCCCCCACCGCGCATGGGCTCAACACCCCCGAAGCCTTATTTCGGTGGTCGGCTATACCGAAGAATTTGCAAAGGAGGTTATATGGGGGTTTCCGAAAATAGGGCCCCTTTAGTGGGACTATTTTGGGGAACCCCTGCGCAAGAACCTAACTGCAAGAAACGGCAGGTGTGTGGGGGGCACCCTAGACCCTAAACCACCACTCTTCCCAGCCTGGTCTGAGGTGTTGTGCTACCGCGTGGATGCAGGCTCCCCAGGTTTGGGGTTTAGGGTTAGGGTTTAGGGGTTAGGGGATAGGATTTAGGGTTCAACAAGTCATTGCAGAATATCCTACTGTCCTGTAGGCCTTCTTCACCCTTCTGTGTTTTTGTCGGCTGTGGTTGCGCAAGTCCCCGCGATACCTTCAACCTTACTCCCTCGGTCTTCGGTAGCCCAGTGGTGCCCTGAACCCATGTTTTTTGGTGCAAGGTTCTCGTATAAAGGAACCGACCCCAAAACAGGGTGCCCTGATTTTGACATGGCACCAGGCCAGGCTCCCCTGAGCAAACTCTTGAGCCCCGTTTGGGGGCCCTGGCCCTAAAACCCGCAGGCCGCAAATCAAAACCTTGGACAAGAAGCTCTGAGCTTTCAGGGGTTTAGGGTTTTTAAGGGTGTTGCTTCAAGTTTTTTTGGGGGGGTGTGCGGGGGCTTATGGGGTCTAGGGTTTAGGTGCTTATGGAGGGTTGACACTTGTACGGCCTAAACCCTAAACCCTAAGCCCTAAACCCTAAACCCTAAACCCTAAACCCTAAACCCTAAACCCTAAACCCTAAACCCTAAACCCTAAACCCTAAACTTACCCCAAACCTTAAACCCGGCACCCCCCCAGCCAAGGCCTTGCAACAGTTACTTGCAAGCGACCACAAGCAGCGCAGTCTGTGGGACGAGCACTCGGCGCCCCGGATGATTTACTGGGACCCACGGGCCCTGATTCTCTTTCTTTGGGACCTGAGGGTTTAGGGTTTAGGGCTACAGGGACCCAGAGTAGGCCCTTGTTCCTCTTGTTTTCGGGTTTAGGTTTTCCCAGAAGCCCCTTTATACTCGTGGGTCTAGCTTAGGGGCTTCAGGGATCAGGGCTTCTGGGCATTTCGTGTTAAGGGTAGAGCGTGCAGCGTTTACCTGAAGGGTGCAAGGACAGAACCGAGACGTTGAATCAAAATCAAAGCTCTTGATCCTGTTGCTGCTTGCTGATATTCGGCCGGAAGCCCTCAACCAAATACCTGTTCCTCCTAAGCCTTCCTAAGCCCCAAGCCTGAACCTATACAAGGTTTAGGGGTTCAACCCTGAGCCCTAAGCCCTTGCGCCTGCAAAGCTTTCCACAAGCCGGGAGGGTCCCTGGGCCCTGTTTAGCATTTTGCGGCTTATGGGTGTGGAATCTTCTGAATCCTTCACCAGCAGATTACATCTGATCGCCCCAAGGCCCCCCCCCCCCCCCCCAAAACCCTAAACCCTCAGTTCCATGCGGCGCTCAGGGTTTAGGGTTTAGGGTTTAGGGTTTAGGGTTTAGGGTTTAGGGTTTAGGGTTTAGGGTTTAGGGCTTAGGGTTTAGGGCTTAGGGTTTAGGGTTTAGGGTTTAGGGTTTAGGGTTGTCTGTCAATCAAGGCGACGAAGCAGACACCTCTGCCAGAAACAGCAAAGAGTGAAGGCACTCGGGCAGGCAAAGAGGGACTACGCCAGCAGGTCCCCACGGCAGGTTCGGAATCTGGGCCCTCGAGCTTCTACGACCCGAGCTGACCTTTGGGATGCCAGGAGACGACTTTCGTGCGACGGAGCATGGCCAAGCTGAGTGTTCTGAGGCTTCTGGGGGTGTAAGGAAGGGCCCTTTCATCGTTCCAGGAGCCTTGAAGACCAGGAGCCTGCTCTAGGCCTCTTTCGGAAGTCCTTGCAAGTGTCTGTCGGAAGCTGTGTCTCCTGCTGCTAAGCCAACGAAGCCACCTGAAGAAGTTCTGATTGCGCATTATCAGACCTCCAAAAGGCCAATTGGAAGTGCAGTTGAAACGAATTTAGGTTTGGGCCATAAAGGAGAAAGGCTTGAGTAACCAAGGACGACGGCCCTGCGTGGGAGAATCACGGGGCATTCCCAGATTTCTCCGCCCATGCGCACTTCAACCGCAAACCCTACGTCCGAAACCTTAAACCATAAACCCCAAACCCCTAAACCCCAAACCCTAAACCCTAAGCCCTAAGCCCTAAACCCTAAACCCTAAACCCTAAACCCTAAACCCTAAACCCTAAACCCTAAACCCTAAACCCTAAACCCTAAACCCTTACTCTAAAGTTCTAACCCCCTATAAACCCGGAAACCAACTTGCGCCAAGTTAAAGATGGAGCTGGCCGACTCGGAGGAGATGGCGCGACTCCAAAGGCCAAGGACGGCTTGGGCTTTGAGGGTTCTAGGGTTTAGGGTTAGGGGTTTGGGGTTTAGGGGGTTTAGGGTGTACGGTTTAGGGTTTAGGGTTCAGGCTTTAGGGTTTAGGGTTTAGGGTTTAGGGGTGAAGGAGGGCTCTGGAGCTGCTTAGGGCCTGGGACTAAGTGGTTTTCCAGCACCTGGCTTGGCCTCCGACCTGTCCCCCAAACCCTATAAAGCCCTATAGACCCTATAAACCCCATAAACCCTATAAACCCCATCAACCCTATAAACCCTACAAACCCTATAAACCCTATCAAGCCTATAAACCCTAAACCCTATAAACCCTGTAAACCCTGTGCACCCTATAAAAACTATAAACCCTATAGACCCTATAAACCCTGCAAACCCTCTAAGCCCTCTAAACCCTATAAACCCTATAAACCCTATCAAACCCCATCAAACCCTATAAACCTTATAAACCTTATAAACCCTCTAAATTTAAACCCTGAACCCTGAACCCTGAACCCTAAACCCTAAACCCTAAACCCTGAACCCTGAACCCTGAACTCGGAACCCTGAACCCTGAACCCTAAACCCTAAACCCTAAACCCTAAACCCTTCGCGGGCCGCCAGCAGCCTGAGGAAGGAGCTGCCAGCCGCTGGCGCGGTTGTTGACGTCCCTCGGATCCAGCCTATGGGAGCTTACGAAAGCAAGGGTTTAGGGTTTAGGGTTTAGGGTCTAGGGTTTAGGGTTTAGGGTTTAGGGTGTAGGGTTTAGGGTTTAGGTTTAGGGTGTAGGGTTTAGGGTTTAGGGTCAGGGTTTAGGGTTTAGGGTTTAGGGTTTAGGGTTTAGGGTTTAGGGTTTGGGGTTTGGGGTTTGGAGTTTGGGGTTTAGGGCTCATATAAGCCCATTCCCGTATAGGAAGG